TATATTTAAGATATCTGACATTTCCATAACAGTTAAATACTAAAATAATAAATATTGTTTTTGATTCAATGACGGACATTTTTATGGAGTTTCGGGAATATAAAAACTCAATATAAAAGCAGATTTGAACGAATAGATGGAAAATGTTCAACCTAAAATATCTTACTTACTAGTTATTCATATTATTTTAACACTCACGAATTATTCATTGCAATGATTATAATAATTATAATAATAACTGTTCACTTCTAATATATTTTATTCGTAATAAGTTGTACGATCTAGCAAAAGAAATCGTAATACGATTTCTGATACCAGTTATAATTAATGTGTTAATGAGTAAACATTTTAAAAAAAACCGTTTATTTTGTTTCAAATGTAACCCTCGACGAAAGTGTGTAATATGGCCCGCGTAGAAGTAAAAAAGTTGTCGACCTCTTGATTGTTGGTTGAAAATATAACAACTATACGAAAGATGTTTGTATAATAGATGATCGTCTGACTCGATTTCGTCAAAAGTTCTGTTTGTAAGTTTTGTTATATCTACCGACTTCTCGTAGCCATTTTTTGGTTCGCAATGTTTGTCGATGACACACGTAAAACTGTATCCGACTTAGGATTACTGATTTACGGCTCTTCAACGACATAAATGGCATGTTGTATTGTTGTTGTTGGAGCTCTCATGAAGAAACACGCTCGTATTTGTGTGTGTGCCAGTTGTCGTATAAGCCGAACACTTCAACGCATACAACACAAACATGTACACGCGAAATAAAAACTTATTTAAACGCAGTTGTCCAGAAGTGGTCGAGTGTGTGACTCGTATTGTATTGTGACTCAATTGTATTCCTACATAATAATAACATTTGTTCAACTTACTGACCCAAATAAAATATTTATTATTATTTTTTTTTTCTTTTAAATAATAATTAGTATTTGATTATTTAATCGTCAACAACGCGTAAGCATATACTATAGTAAAAAAATCATTGTACTGAAAAGTCATTACAAATTACTTATTGACTGATACTGCAGTATATAACAAGCGTATTCGAAATTGTATCGCAAATGAATATATTATTATTGTATTTGCATTGTCATGTGTACGTGATCATCACGATTACCATCATTAAACGCAGTTGCGAATCCGTAACGGTACATTCAGTTAAAGTTGTTGTCATTTTTATTTTTCTTCGGCAGCGCTTAATGTTTAGAGATTCGTGTCCGTGGTCGACTATTTACAGGATATTAAATTCTATACGGGTCTCTATTTATTTTATTTTCACCATTGTTAACGTCACCACCATTAAGACATCTGATCCGCAGGATTCCAGGAACAATCCTTTGTTATTATTGTTGTAAAATTTTAAATAATATGTTAAGTGTAACAAATATTGTTTACATGGTTCACTTTGACCACAATGGTAGTCACCGAAACGTATGACGTTAGTCGTGATTAAACAAATAAGTAATTATTGTCAATTATATTGACACGCTCGTATCATACGATTACCACTGTCATCCGTAACACCCCTTTGTAATTTATTTTTTGTTTTAATATAAGTGTTATGTCTAAATATAGGTTTTAATTTATTACTAGGTCGAAATCAGATAAAAATAAAGCGATTTGCCTAAATTGAAGCGTTTAAATTTCTAATGCACGTTTTTTTTTTATTTTTTTTCAAAACGTCATAATTTATTTTTGTGTATACATAGCAGCAAGACAATCGTATATTCACGTGGTACAATGGAATCCTTTACTACAGTTTATTTCAAAACAACATGCGAGCAGGAAGTTACATGAACAATGCCGCAAGAAGCCCTAGATTGTAAGGATATTCAGTTCCGGGAAGCAATATTTATTGTGCCCGTGCAACGCGAATTTATAAGAAAAACTCTGCGTGCGCCGAATCCCTGAAAAATAAAATAGTTAAATCAAAAGCATGTAACCTTAATGCTCGAAAAGTTGATTTATTTTTTATGTAACTCAACACCATGCTTATTGACCGCAAACCTAAATGATAAATGACTAAGTATTGATTAATCAGTGGATTAGATAATTAAAATGTGACTCAATCTGAATTCTCAAATAAGTCAACTTGCAATATTAATTAGTAATGAGTGACAGTCAAATGACCATATAGTTCTTATTATAATAATTACGCATGGAGGAAATCGATATTTTAATTTATGTAGTATGCTTGAAAAAAGTTTAAATTCATATTGAAACGGAATAAAAACTATGGTTAAACAAAACAAATCAATATTAAACTTTGTTGTGAGATCGTTTCTCAATATATATTTAATACTATGTTATTGTAAGGATAATAAAAAAAAGTACATTGTGTTACAATTCTCGTGATACCTTGGATTTAGTACGGTACACATGGATGTAGGAATATTGCATATACAGAACGCCGGTAGTAATTATGTCTAAGTTATAAATAACATTTATTATCTTTTCACCTATATTGTTCGAAAACATTTTTTTGGAAATTTAAATATTTCGTCAATTTATACGTACAGTTCGTTATATTTTTGAATCGCTGTTATTTTTTTGATTGACTTGTTCATATAACGATCGACCGGTGGCGTACGCAGGAATTTGTTATGGGTGGGATGGTATAAATTAAAATGTATTTTTTTAATATTTATTCTCTGTTATTATACAAAAAATAAAAATAAATCAATCGAGGTGAAAATTCATCGTTTTGGCTTTTACACTAAATTCATCAATTATCTGTTCTGTAGTTAATAGTATGTCTCGATGTATGTTCATTAACGCCAATACATTTAACCGTGACTGCCCCATCGTATTTCTTCAATACGTTTTTAAACATATAAGGTAGAAAAAGAGCATTCAGAAGTCACTGTGGTTACAAAAAAAAAAAAAGCACATGGTAGGAGATATATGCCCCATCATCCCTTCCCTGCGCAAATCACTGCGATAGATGTTTGAATACATTTCGGCCGTTGTTGGTGATATCGATAACGAACCGACCGTTACACCCTCAGCCGTCCAGTGTTTAAGGAAATCTCCAAGTCGGACACATAATACTATACCACGTCCTATTAAACTATTAGGATAAGTGTTAAGTGCGGAGTGTGATTTTTCTGCGTATCGCGTTAAATAATGCTAATCGTGAAACCGAAGGTCTACCAGACAAATACACTATTGAACTGTGTATCTTGTAATGCGAAGAGAAAACCTTAAATTACACAAGTAATATTTCACAGCCAGTTCCTTAGAAACCCATTAAAATTGTATGAATTGTGGTCAACGCGTAAGCGTTTGCGGTTCATATATATGCCCGAAAAAAAAAAACCAACCGGGCACAGAAAAACAATGTATTTATGTTCCGACATTTTTGCTGGAGGCGTACAGAAACGTGTTTCATCCTTCGTTTTCCGGATGTGTAATGACGGTTGTGTGAATTGTTCGTTGTTAATGTATAAGTTCTTAAGCACCGGCAAAACATTTCGTTAGAAAAACAACACGTCTTAACATTCGTGTTACTAAATCGTTTTGAAATATTATAAAAGCTAATCAAAACTTTTTTACTCCATGCCTGTAAGTTTGTAACTTTCAAGACAGGTTATTAATACAATTCAAATATACCATAGTCTAAAATCAATCAATTTCACTCAACACTAACCGGTGTTAACCAGTTAAACATTATGCATTTTACGAAAAGCAAATCAAGAACAATTTTAAAAATGTTAACTATTTGAGCGAGGTCTCGAATCCAAAATCGATCGGGATGACTACGCTTCAATTGGTGCCGGATATAAAATATCAAGAACAAAAAGTGGACTGTATTAAATTATAAAACCTTTATTATAATAAAACCACGGCAATAATTATCGTACATAAAAATTACTAACAAATATGACTTACGCTGCAATAACCAACTTATACATAAAAAAAATCGAACATGACAGTAATAATATAATTGCACAATGGATTAAAATAAATTGTGTCTACCTGGTGATAATGGTGTGAATTTATAGCCGGTCGCCACCGGGTTAGAAGGCAGGTAGAACGATAGGTCAGTTCTTGAATATTCTCATCAATTATCGATCTGTACCCAACATCTTCCCGCCTTTGAAAAGCAAGCTCTTTAAAACCAGACATATTTACAAAATTAAAATATTATAATAAATCTCTTTTCTAAAATATTATACATATTGTCAAAAAACAAATTAAAAATTATAAAACTTCCAAAATTATGAACAATTATTGTAACAATTATTTACAATTAATAGTTAGTAGAGAGGAATACAATTTAAATACTGAAGGAAAGCCTAATTTATGTTACTGGTAGTTTTATCAATTTAACTATGGTGTTATTATTACTCCATCAGCAGTTTTCACCGTCGTGACACGAACTAATTGATCTGTTCCGAGATACACTTCAATGATGCGTCCGAGTCGCCATGCCATTGGTGGTCGAATAGCTGAGTGGATCACGACTAAATCTCCTACAACCAAATTATCCATTTCCTTGAACCACTTTTTACGTCTATGGAGAGTGTGCAAATATTCATGGCTCCAACGACGCCAAAATGATTGGAGTGCTTGACGAATGAGTTTCCAACGTTTTAGGCGATTTTTGGTTATGTCCGTGAAGTCTTAATTGGGCATAGCCAAGATTGGTTGGCCTATTAAGAAATTTCTTGGAGTTAGGGCCTCCAAATAATTTGGGTCACACGATATTGGTTCTATGGTTCTTGAATTTAGGATGCCCTCAATTCTCACTACCAATGTTGTCAGTTCCTCAACTGTATATGTTTGTGTATCCATGACCTTCTTCAAATGTGTCTTAGTACTCTTAATAGCCACTTCCCAGAGACCGCCAAAGTGTGGTGTACCCGGCGGATTAAAATGCCACTCGCAATGAAACAGCTTGATGGACATTGTCTGCATCAAACAATGTCTTAATTTGCTTCGCGAGCCCTTCATAGTTCGTGTCATAATCGGTATAAATGTTGGTTGGGATTCAACGACGTAATTTAAAGCGGTCCAATTCCGTGAGGAATGAGTCAGTTGAAAGATCAGTTACAATTTCCAGATGTAAAGCCTCCTCTGCCATGCAAATTAACAGAGCTAGATATGCTTTGTGCGTACGGGCTCCACGTCGACGGCTCTCTTTTACAACAAATGGAGGACCACCGTAGTCCATACCTGCAATATAAAATAGTCGTTGTGCTGTAACTCTGGGAATAGGCAAGTTTGCCATGAGAGGTTGAGGCTTAGTTGCCCGATATTTTGTACATGGCACACATGAGTACACTACCCGACGCACAGCTGCTCGACCAGGTACTATCCAATATCGTTGGCTAATCATGGAGAGTGTTGCGTTTACTCCACCATAGAGCAATAACTGATGATAATGCCGGATAAGTAACTCCGTGAAATGGCACCGTTGTGGTAGTAATATTGGATGTTTCATTGTATTATTCAATTTTGAATGTCTTAGGCGCCCTCCAACACAAATCACCCCAATTTGGTTTATAAATGGAGCCAGTTGAACCATGGTAGTTGGTACAATATCCCTGCCTTTTTAAATTTGTGAGTGTATATCGGAGAAATATCTTTTTTACGTATATTTGATGATCCTCTGCAAAACTTGATTGTGCTCTGAGTGCGATATATAGGTCGGCGGCGAACGCTTTCGACCTCGATCAGCAAAACGAATACAATACCCCAATACGCGCTACATCTGAGATATTGAAAAAAGCGCTCTATCCACAGTTTCTTCTCTTCATACATATGGCACCATGCATTGCACTGAAGTCTTGAGTTATGGTAAATTTTTTATCGGTACAGTAACATCCACTGGTTTCAAAACTGGCTACTGGGAGTCGTTCTGACGCTGGAATTTCGGTCCTGCAAGATATTTTGAACATGATAATAAATCTTGAGGTAGTATCCCTTAGGAAACTAGGTCTACCGGGTTACCAGTCATTCCCATGTGATCCCAAGCACAGTCGGGTATCAGTGCTCTAATTTTGGCGACTCGATCTGTCGCAAAAATGTTGAATTGTTTCTGCTATTGAGTGATCCACGTCATGACAATTTTCAAGTTTATCCAGGCTCGGATTCTGTCAATGGTAATTCAATTTTTAATAAAGTGAAGTAGTGTGACAAAAGTCTGGCTAAGTACTCTTACTATGTTGGATGGTATGTTCAGGTCGGTGCGTATTGAGGTAAATTATGTACACTCCTCGACTTAGTATTCGACAATTATTGATTAGTGGTATGTGTTGCATATTGGTTTGAGAATTTTTTCTAATTAAGTATGAGTGTTTGAGAAAAAAGTGTTCATTCTAATCTTCTAAAAATTTAAAATAATATAAAATAGTACGGTTTCAGGTTTATTTGAAAACATTTTTATGCAATATCATATGACATACATTATATAATATAAATATAAATATGAATTTTTTAAATTTTAAACAGAAAGTTTATCGCGACCCAATATTAAAGCTTACGCGACCCACCGATTGAAGACCACTGATCTAGATGAGTGATTTTTTTATCTCGGATAATTTTTTCAATAATTTTGAACGGTTCATTTTTTAATATCTAGATAATCCTAACACTGCTTATATGTATATCTTTTAAATAACGTATTTTTAATTTAATACTGCATAAAATATTTAAAATACAAAAATTGTTATACACATATTACATGTACACTTTATAATAATTTTATATTGTCATTATTATTCCATGACAATACCAATGTAGTACTGTTATGATACTATGTATCCATAGACCGTGCTACAGAGTTTAGTACTGGTATATATGCAAGGTAATAATATTTTGTTTTACGTGTATAGTACTCGTCTACCCAGTTAGTGACGTGTACAAGGGGGTAATTAGGGGTTGTGACACCCCCCCCTCCCTATTGGGCCTTGTATCATATCACTATTATATTAATTATAAGTGCCTATATTATTTTTTTTTTTAACTTTACTCATCAACATTGTTGGAATACATTTTTTACGATGACGATGAACTACCAAAGTATAAGCTATTTTATTAATTTGTTTAAAGTACGAAAAATTTAATATAAATGGTTAGCTGTTTTATTGGATGTAGATTACTAGGTTCCTAGGTCCTAATTATAAAATAAAAAATAACAAGTAATTACTATAAATTAGAATTAATATTTATGAACTGTGGTGCCCCTAAAAAGTGTTCTTAGACTCACAGTGCCTCTAGGTCATCGCGATACACACTTTGGAAACCGCTATTTGACAGTATCTTAAGGTAACCTTTCGTCCCATTTTGAATGGGACAGATCCGTTTTTGGTATGTCCATCCCGTTGTCTTCTGAGGAATCTTAAGGACACTAAAATGTCCTGTTCTTAAAAGGTAACTAGAAAAATAATGAATGTCAATTTAAAAAAACTCCAAAGTATCTCCATGTTTTTTTTTATTTTACGAATTAAATTATAAACTTAAAATAGTCTAAAATGTAAATATGTATACATTTAGTTCTTCGTTTGGAGAATTTAAATATATTTTTAAAATCTTTATACTTCTATTATAAATCAAACAATTTGGTTGTCTATCCTGAATTTTTTTAAAAAAATTGATATATCTAGTTCTAGAACTGTTCTAGGACTCTTCCATTCAGATAATATTATTAGTCAGACGAGATAACTAGAGAAATACCTAATTTATTTTGCGTAAATCATTTACTCATTGTTTATCTATAGTTTTGTTCGTCATATAAAAATAAATAAAAAGTATATGTATCACAGTAGTTTTAGAATCATTTTTTTCATAATAATATGATGAATATTAAAAAAATATGAGATTCAAAATCATTTTATAATAAATAATTTTCTCGAAATAAAAAATATAATTTGAATTTTTCCGACTCTCTAGTATATTCGTGTATACTCATACTTCTATGGTAAACCACAAAAAAAAAATAATAGTGTAAACCAGGGGTGAGCAACTGGCGGCCAACGAGCTATTTTTATCTGACCCTTACTATATTTTCAAATTACATCTTACAATTTCTAAATGTTATATGTATATATATATAGTTTTCAACGATAGCTGTTAGTATTACACTATATTAGTTTCTTCGTATCATTCGTGTCGTGCTGTTGTATGTGTTGAATTAATTATTTCCGTGTATATAAATGCTAATTAAAATTCATATTTTAAATGACCTTTTTTTTTTCTTTTTTTTTCTACGCTCTGGCTCGCTAAATTTTAATTTTTTAAAATTGAGTAATTTTGAGTTGTGCGTCCCTAATCTAAACAAATTAAACAAAATATAATAATATTTTGTATTCGGTGCTTGTGTAATATACTGATCGACAACTTCGATGAGTGACAAGATAAGATTACTCCTTATCTGTCTCTACTATCCTTAGGACAAAACGGCCAAAGTTAAATAAGAATTTATTATTAATAGTTTCGAAACACTCTCAATCGGAATTTTTTTTTTTTCATGCTAACCTAACCGGTCAATAAGTAATCTATAATATATATATAATAATAAATAATGATATATATGTATATATATACGGTAAGAATTCCATTAACGGTAAATTCTGTAATTGTAACTTATTTAAATAACAATGATCTTAAGGTATAAAAGTGAACTTAGTATAATGAGTAGTAAAAATAACAAAAAATATTTGTATAATTATTAATTCCTTTATGATTAACGGTAAAATTTAAACTACTTAATAATTTTTAAAAATAAAATGTAAGTTTTGTTTGTGGTTAAGAACCGAAGAACTATATTGCGTAATACATTACTTGTTAGCTGTGAATATTTAACGATATGAAAAAAGTAGGTACCTACATTTTTTTTTAAAGATGCATCATGACATATTTGCCTTAGCGGTTACTTAAAAAAAAGAAAAATATAAAAACAAGTTATAATAATGCTTAGCAAAAAAAAAATCTATTTTAAACTATAGCCTTTCGAAGTATATTCATTTAGGAAACAATATTATTACCTTGTTATTTTTCAATTATAATTTCATTTGGAATTTAACACCACTGTCTCTTGCTTTGAAGATTATTATCATAATATAGTCAACGAAAAGGTAAGAAAACTCAATAAAATGTCGTCAAATGATAACTAACAAATGATACAGCTTCTATTGTGGAAGGTCAGGGTTCAGAATATCGTGATTAATGAATTATCATCAAAAATAAACAAAATAAATGATAACTGATTGTTGCAAGCCCGTATTATAATATATCTAAAGCTAATGTAATATAATATAATAACAAACTATTAAATTTCAGTCGATTTTAAAGTTCAAAGCAAATTAACTGCCCTCGAACTGTAATTTGAAGAAAAGTGCCGAAATTTTCAATGCAAGTATGAAGACGCAGAAGGTATGAAACCAAATTATAAGTTCGATTGACATGAAACTGTAAAAAATATATTTTTGGTAGCTAATCCACCAAGGGATGTCAAATTAAAGTTTGATCAGTTTCGATGCCCATTGAACATGTTGTACAAAGAAAATGAGTTTTTAAAGGACAATATTAGAAAAATTTTTAATAAATTAAATGATCTAGAATTTAAGTTAAAATATTGTCCATCATTCGGGAGTAGAAACGAAAGCTATCGACTAAATAGCGAAATAATCGACAACGTGGAGGGTGAAAACAATAGCTTACGTTGCCACAATACATTTGCTGATTCATGTGTGGTCACGTCAGCTGAATTAAACGAAAAAGCCATCGTTGTTCAAAGATCCGATGATACAAACCAAATCCAACAGGCGCACACAAATAGCAAAGATAATATCGAATACGAATCGATCGCGAGGACTAACCCGATTAATCTTGAGTTGGGATTTGCTTGCCACGATATGTCGGAGGACGATGTGAATTGCGCTACAATAGAAGAAAATCGAGGACAAGTGATCAATGAACTCAACGGTCATAGTCAGTTAAGAACCGTTCACGAACAGGAGCAAATTGACACGGTCAAGAATAGCATTAACGATATTAAATATGTAATTATATTGAAAAGAACAATTATAATAAATAGAAAAATGTTATGGATTAATCGTTTTTATTTATTTTTTTTTTTCAGAAAAAATCACTCGGAGAATGTAATAGATATCCAGAAATGCAAATTGAATCCGGCATTAAACGAATTGTGTATGGCTCGAAATTAGATGCTACTTGAATTGAAGGTAATCGCATTTGTTTCACCTAATCATTACCGTACAAGAACGCACGTAATACATTTTATGTAGTATATTCAGTGGCGTAGATACAATTTTTTTCTGGGAGCAGTGTTTAAGATTAAATTCTTAATATTCTTATTATATCTTAATATGAGGTCATATATAATAATATTACTTTTAAAATGGTATTATTATTGTATTCCGTATTTAATGAAAATTATTTTGCTACTCAATTTTTAATGTAATCATAGTAAAATGATATTTTCATTTTTTTCATTTTTATTTTTTATTAATATTAACATTGTAAATAAATAATAATTAAATATAATTAAAAAAAAAATCTGAT